GGGCCGTTGGTGAGGTGAGATCGCGTTAAGGCCAAAACCGTTATGACATAGAGTCATGTTGAGGCCGAGGGCTGTCTGATGTTGAGGCCGAGGGCCATTGTGATGTTGAGGCCGAGGGCCGTTGTGATGTGGAATCACGCTGAAGCCGAGGGCCATTGTTGATGTTGAGACCGAGGGCCGTCTGATGTTGAGGCCGAGGGCCATTGTGATGTGGAATCATGCTGAGGCCGAGGGCCGTTGGTGATGTTGAGGCCGAGGGTCGTCCTGATGTTGAGGCGGAGGGCCGTTGTGATGTGGGATCACGCTGAGGCCGAGGGCCGTTGGTGATGTGAGATCACGCTAAGGCCAAAACCGTTATGACATAGAGTCATGTTGAGGCCGAGGGCCGTCTGATGTTGAGGCCGAGGGCCATTGTGATGTCCTCACGCTGAGGCCGAGGGCCGTTGTTGATGTTGAGGCCGAGGGCCGTTCTGATGCTGAGGTCGAGGTACGTTGTTGATGTTGAGGCCGAGGGCCGTCTAATGTTGAGGCCGAGGGCCATTGTGATGTGGAATCATGCTGAGGTCGAGGGCCATTGGTGATGTGAGATCACGCTAAGGCCAAAACCGTTATGACATAGAGTCATGTTGAGGTCGAGGGCCGTCTGATGTTGAGGCCGAGGGCCATTATGATGTCCTCACGCTGAGGCCGAGGGCCGTTGTTGATGTTGAGGCCGAGGGCCGTTCTGATACTGAGGTCGAGGGACGTTGTTGATGTTGAGGCCGAGGGCCGTCTGATGTTGAGGCCGAGGGCCGTTGTGATGTGGGATCACACTGAGGCCGAGGGCCGTTGGTGACGTGGAATCATGCCAAGGCCGAGGGCCATTGGTGACGTGGAATCGAATTGAGGCCGAGGGCCTTTCCTTGATAGTTCCAGGAGTCCTCTGGGTGTATGTTCCTTCTTTCAGGCATCGACCGAGGGGTTGATTCCCCGCCTCGGCCGAAAGGAGGTCCAAGTGATCCGTCCGGGGGTTCGTCTTTAGTCCCCCGGCGCTGGGCCGTCCCTTGATTGTGCCAGGAGGTCGTATGTTAGTCCTCCTGATGTGTGTTCCTTCTTCTAGGCTTCGGCCGAGGGGTTGATTCCCCGCCTAGGCCGAAAGGAGGTCCAAGTGATCCGTCCGGGGGTTCGTCTGTTAGTCCCCCGACGCTGGGCCGTCCCTTGATTGTGCCAGGAGGTCGTATGTTAGTCCTCCTGATGTGTGTTCCTTCTTCTAGGCTTCGGCCGAGGGGGTTGCTTCCCCGCCTCGGCCGGAAGGGGGTCCAAGTGATCCGTCCCGGGGTTCGTCTGTTAGTCCCCCGGCGCTGAACCGTCCCTTGACCTTGGGGGGTCCCGTCGTCTATTTACGGCGCGGGCTAGGCTTGGTCGGTTTCCGACGACTGCCGTTTCACCCCCAAGTTTGGGGATTTCGTCACCTCAGCCATTCTTTCAGGCCTGTCGCCGTGCGTTGCGCGCCGGCGACGCGGCGAGCGTCCCGCTCCAAAAACGCGGGCCTTTTGCAGGCCCCTCGTCTTTAGAAACCATCGGCCATACCAGGGCATTTGGCCTCGAAGGGGCCGATAAGATGTCTGGATTGTGTTGTAGTTTACTTAAATTCATAGAAATAAGCGGAATACAAGGGGTGCGTTGTTTGACAACGGCTTTGTTAAGATTCACCGCTCAAGGCCAAGGGCTCTAGGCCGAGGGGATGGTAATGTGCCTCGAGGTCGAGGGCCCAAGGCTGAGACTAACGCCGAAGGTGAGGAACATGATTAGCGGAGGTGGCGCTTCTTCGGCTGGGGCTCCTCGAACTCCTCTCCGTCACTGAGCCTCCCGATTTCATGTTTCTTTGTTGCGATGTCCCCTTCTTCTTTATCGGTGTTCTCCCCGGTGTTTTTCCTTGGGGCATTTTTGATGAATTGGTGGAGCTCACCCCGTTGAATTAAGAGTTCAATAGCCTTCTTTAACGAGACACAATCGTCTGTATTGTGGGAGGTGCTTTTGTGGTAACGGCAATAAGTGCCGCCTTGGTGGATGGCGTAGATCTCCCTCGCCGACCGAGGGTCCTTGAGGAAAAGGTCCTGCTCTTCCGCATAGTTGAGGATAGTGCTCACCGGGTGCGTGAGGGGAGTCCTCGGCATGTCCAGCCGAGGGCGCCATTGGCGTTCATTACGGCCCTGCTGGGTGTGGCTTCCATGGTCTCGGCCTCTGGCCGAGGGCACATTTGGGGCTGGCGTGTTGTTTATCTTCTTCGAGGGCTGGCCCTCGTTCTTCTTGAAGGAGTGGAGGTCGTCGGCGTCGGCGTATAGGCTCCCCCGCTGGAGTGCTCTGAGGTATGATCTTGGGGGGTCGGTGATGAGGCTCCGTGCGTAGGGGCTGCTGCGGAGAACCCCCTGGAAGAGGACGAGGAGGGTACGCTCGTCGGCGCCCTCAACCTCGTCTGTCTCCTTCATCCACCGGTCAATGAAGGACCGAAGTGTTTCGTCAGGCTGTTGCTTGACGGAGAGGAGCTGGGAGAAGTGCTTTCTCGCGCGCTTCCTTCCGGCAAAATGGGCGAGGAAGCGTTGGACAAGATCTTGCCAAGAGTCAATGCTGCCCTCGGGCAATCGATTGAACCATTCGTATGCTGGTCCCTCCAAGGTGGAAAGGAACCAACGACATAAGTATTCATCTGATGCCCCCATCATCATCATGCTGTTTTGATACCTGTTGTAGTGCTCCTGGGGGTCAGTTTTTCCTTCATAGGGCTTGATGAGTTGCCCTCGGTACTTTTCCGGGATTTGGGCCGCCAATACCCTTGGGGTGAATGGCGTCCGGGTCCGGAGCTGGATGATGGGTTCCCCGGAGCCCTCAGCTACCTTCTTCTGTAATTCCTCCATTTTGGCCATCATGGCCTCGTATTTGAGGTCTGAATGAGGGGTGGAGCTGGTGGCGTGAGCTTTGTCGGCCTCCATTTCATCAAGTCGGCGTTGGAGGGCCGCAATAATTTCGTCCCGGGGGTCCTTCGGAAGGGTCTCCGCCCCTGCGAACGAACCCGGGCCGAGTGGGCCTGGTTGATCTGGTGGCGAGCATCGTCGGCATGAAGGGGTGCCTTGCCTTTGTCCCGAGGGGGACGCTCCTCGTCTGCCCTCGAGACAGACCCTCCGCTTTCTTGGGGCCCTCGGCGGTCTTGCCCCCCTCCGAGCCGGTTGAGGGCGGAAGTGCGGGGCCTTTCTCTGTTGTCATTGTGGCGGTCCCAGGACTGAACTTCCTGGGAGGCCGTGTCTTGGGCCACTACCCCTTCGTCATTCCTAACCCGAGGGATGGGGTTTCCGAAGGGGTGTGGCAGAGGGGGAAGTACGATGTTCTCCCCAACCTGGGGTTGAGCCGGAGCCAGGGTGCCGAAGGCACCCGGGTTCTGAGTTAACGTTTGGATGAAGGCGGAGAGTGCCGAATGAACGTCGATGGTGAGGACCGGAGGTCTGACTTGGTCATCGCTTCGGTTTTTCTTCTTGGCCTCGATGCCGAGGCAGGCATCGGGGGCATTCTGCTGGATCTGAAGGCGTAGGTCGACAGCCGCCTGTTCCAGCCCAACGATGACACCGCCCTTGGGAGCCTTGTGAGAGGCTTCGGGGGCGTTGACGTCGCCGAGGGCCAAGTTCTTGGAGTTCGGGGGCGTTTTTGGAGTTGGCACGTGTTGTTCTCACCATTTTGGTAGAGGGCTAGTGTTTGGCGAAGGGGGAGGGTTTCTTACTTGATCGTTCGACCTCTCAACGAGAGCACCAAATGATGGATAGTGTACCCGGGGGGTAGCTTATCCGAGGGGTTATTGCGGAGAATAACTAGAGAGAAGTCAGAGCAAACAAGTAAGAGAGAGAGTGTATATTCGATATGTATTAAGCGTGGTTTACAATGAGGGAAAGGGGTGCTATTTATAGTAGTAATAAATGCTAGATAAGGACACGTGTCAGTTTTCTGGTGGTCGAGGGGTCACCTCGACCGGGGTGGCACTGGCACTCACATGTGGCCGCATTAAATGCGGTGGTTGGATGTGACGTTTGTACTTGGTACGGTGATCCAGGCCCATGTGAAGAGGATATTCTGTCGAGGTGGATGCCTTCGGCTGAAGGGTGCTGGGCCGAAGGCTCTTCTAACCGAGGGCTTCTACCTGCCGAGGGCTGCAGGTGCCGAAGGCTTGGTTTTCAAGCCTTGTTCTCTTGTGATGCCTCTTCTAACCGAGGGCTCCTACCTGCCGAGGGCTGCAGTTGCCGAAGGCTTGGTTTTCAAGCCTTGTTCTCCTGTGATGTTTCTGAGCTCGATTCCGTCACTGGTTGCCTTCGGCCATGGGGCCGAAGGCACCCCTTTGTGTATTGTGGACTGCTTAGAGCTCCATTTTTCTGGGCTTGGCCCATTTGGGCCTGTTGGGCCTGATTGTAGTAGAGGAAGTATGTGGGCCGGGGGTCCCTGGGCCATATACTCCATCACTTATATTGTCTGGTTCTTCTGGAATCTCCTATTTCAGACCTTCCACCTTCTCTCTATCCGATGACTCTCCCGTTCTGTTACCCTAGACCTAGAGTGAGAGAGTGCCGGTTTCTTCTGAGCTTTAGCTTCGGCTTTGCTCCGGTGAGACCTTGGGGTTCCTATTGGGGTCTTCACTCTAGTCTGGTAGTGTGGTGGGTTATTACTCCTCCGGTGGGAGTTCTGGGCTGGGGTCTGGGTTCTGAGTGTGAGGGTTAGTTGGCTGTCGCCCTTTCGTCTTCCCTGGTTGTATCTCTGGTGGTGAGTGTGAGCAAGCCTTTGGACTTTGTGATGATTGAGGTCTGAGCCGGTCCGGTTTTCTAACAGTTAAAATGAGTTACTCGTAGCTTTTTTTTAAAAAAAGAAAATGAGTTAGCTAATCATGCAGAATGGATGGAATTCCCACACTCTCAACATTGCACACCAAACTTGACACATTGAATAATCATGGTAGCTATATAAATTATTTCATATTTAATTAAAGAATGCACAGTCCATTAGGGACTAATGAATAAGAGTACGTAAAATATTTGTAACAATTAAGTTAGCCAAGGAAAAGAAAAGGGTAAAGTGCGAATTACATTGAGATGGTGAGGTCGAAAAGTGCATTGTCAGTGAGGGTGTTGATGGTGGCGTTACTAGCAGTATCAACAACAAGGTGGTGGTGGAGACAGACGATGGGGGATGAGCAGCCGCAACAAGAGGAGTGTGCCACCGTGAAGGCACTCATCTCAGCTTGCTCAAGCTTCGTGATGTACGGATTGCCAGACCCCATCCCAGGTTCCCCTTGCTGTGTTGCCATGCTCAGCCTGAGCAACCTGGCTGACTCCACCGACAACCGCCAGAACGTCTGCCGGTGCATGATGGATCTCATCACCACCTACAACCCTAATGCCACTTCCATTGCTACTTTGCCAGGCTTCTGCGGTGTCTCTCTTGGCTTCATCATTGATCCTAACACTGATTGTGAATAGTATCTTCTCATTCCCTTTATTCCCTTAGTTCGATCTATTGAAAAGTTTTAATACTCCGTCCGGTCCAAAATAAAGTTTAATGTTTTACTTCACACAAATTAAACAAATAAATTTGACTTTACTGTAGAGTACATTGTTGTGACACTGTTTGACACTGTTTTGCGCTGTTTTGATGTAGTTAATTTGCCAAATAAGGAAGGAAGAAAAAATGTGAACTTTATTTTGTACCAACCCAAAAAGGAAAGTGTAAACTTTATTTAGGACCGAAGGGAGTATTTGTAGTTCTATTTTCAGAAGTTAGGAGTTGTGTTATTTCATATTTAGTCAATTGGGAAAAATCTTACCTAGTACTTCTTCCGTTCTTTTTTAAATGTAATGGTTCACTCTTCACGTTTGCCAACACACAAGTTTGACCATTAATATCTTTCATTTCTTATTAGTAAAAAAATTAGATTTTGAAAATTTGAAATGAGAAGAATTTAATAATATTTTTAAAAATTAATCTATATATAATACATTAATAAATAAAATAGAGTCAAAGCAGAACATGTGAATAGTGGAAAAAGTCCAATGTTGCATTTAAAAAAGAATGGAGGGAGTATATGTTACTACCTCCGTCCCAAAATGATGGTTCTGTATTTCTTGTTTGGGGTGTCCCAAAATGATAGTCAATTTTCCCTTTTTGGTAAAGAAATTAAAGTAGACTACCATTTATACCTCTCCTTTTTAATGAACGGTAAAAATAAAGGAGTTGACAGCTCCAGTACAATAAAGTAATGTTAGATAGGTCATTCTACCACTTTATCTTAATATTTGAGCCCAAAAAGTATATGACCATCAATTTGGGACGGAGGAAGTAGTTTGTTACAGTTGCGGACCTAGAACTTTTTTGAAGCAGGGGCACTCCCGCATAGATGGAAATAGGTCGGGTTGGGTCAAATCGGGCGTATCATTAGTCTTTTTATCAAGTGCTTTCAAATTTTTTAGTTTTAACTGGAAATAGATTATTCAATGATGGCTTCAAACAATGAACATATATGGATTATAAGTCTAATTTTGAACTTATTAAGACAATTCTAAACAATATATATGGCTTTTTGAAAGAAAGATATAATTTGGATCAGAAATGATTCATCTTTGCACCGTTTATGCTTTTACATTAGAATTCTCGTTACTTTTCATACTATAAAATGATCAAGATTTCATATCTGAACTAGAATCATGTTGAATGTTACACATTGTGCCACAAAATATGTTGGTACTTGTCTAGAATATAATACTATTGTGTTAAAAATGAAGTATAGATCATGTTCATGATTTCATTCTTTAATACAATTTTATTTAATAATATGATTCTATATATCTAACATTCATTATATTATAGATAAAAAAATTCAAAGAGTCTATTGGTTTGAAACTAATTTATCGCGAATTGCCACATTTTTTCATGTATAGACTTCTATTCAAGATAAAATTCTAGAACACTTGTCATATATTTGACTTTTAACTTTGGACAACCATTATTTACACCAAGTACGAAAAATCATCAATGTCACTTTTCAAACAAAGTGTAGTAATCAATGTCTAACTATAAGGATTTGCTCTATCACAACTTTGTGGTTATTTATAATTTATACTATGCATAGTAACTATAGTAATATTTATGTCCATTAGTTCTACTTAGGTAATATTAATGAAATAATCTATTGTTTTTTTGACCGCGTAGCGGGGACATAATTTTTATCTTTAAGTACTAATCTTAAACTTCGGGGTCGGAAGCATATTTAGTCCTTGTAGGGCAAACATGTCTACAAAAAACATCTTATATCGACTAAATATGAATTACTTAACCCTTAAAATTAATCAATGAGTTTTCTGCTTGAGTAAGACCATCCAACCATATTTTTTACAATTTTATTTCTTTTCTTCATAAAATATGGAGTAATAACATTCATTTAATAATAATAAATTCTCTTTCGAATTGGTGCAGTATTGGATGAAAGTACTGAGCAGTACGTAATCTTTTCAGATCGTTCAAGTGAAGACTACAACTTTCAAGATGCGGCTAGCACTTGTCTGTACCCAGAATTAATTAATTAAACATTTCATCCTGATCCTGCATACACCAAACAAGAACACAAGTGTACAAGTACATACCAAATAGATGATCATCGTATATATGTATTGTATTCTGAACTTTAATTTTTGAATGTATGCAATTGAATGCTTACTTCTTAAGAGAGTCAATTCAAACAGCTTGATTACATACGGAGTATATATTAGATATTGTTGCACACATAATACCGGGGATAAGGTAGTGACACACATTATTCTATCGTTTACAAGAAAATTATTTAGTCGCACAATATAAAACAAGCATTCCCTACAAAAGAAAAAGAAGTGGCTAAGCAAATTGTTGGGTGTGTTTCGAAAAATAAAGATAATAATTAATAAAGATTAATTAAATAAAATTACTAAAGAAAACAGAAAATAGTTTCTTTAGTCAAAGCATTCCCTACAAAAGAAAAAAGAAGTGACTAACCAAATTGTTGGGTGTGTTTTGAAGTAGTATTTAGCCAAAGCTCGTGTAACACACGATGTTCTTAAAACGTATTCGTCGCCTCCCACGGTGTTAGGAGCGTTGCAACGATCGTTTCCCAGGATATGGTGGCTAACGAACTAACGTTTGAGCACACAAACGAAAGTTCCGGCGAACGGAAACCCAAGAAGAACATAAAGGAATTTTTTCAGGAGCTGGAGGTGTTTTTAGCTGAAGGAAAAACGTGCAGATTGTGTATGATTGCATGTGTTGTTGCAAAGCACCTGCCAGCTATTTATAGGAGGATTTGTTGTGTGTTAATGAGAGAGTTAAAGGACCTGAACGTTGGACATCAATGAACAGTCGGTGGACATTGAATCGTCCATAAACTGTCCATTTAACGCTGCATAAAGGCATACGAACGTTGGACATTTATCGTTGTAACCGCTTAGTTGCGCAACCAGAAGAAGTCCATGGTCTTCTGTTCGGAAGCCACCAGAAGAGCTATGTGGTCTTCTGTCCGGAAGACCACTAGAAGGCCTCGTGGTCTTCTGTTCCGAAGCCAACAGAAAACCCTCACGGTCTTCTCGTTCTGAGCAGTTCTGGCAGTTTGAAAAAAAAAATTAGGAACGTTACGAGAATAAACAAAAATTTAATCGCATCTTTGAATGATAGATTTTAGGACGACATTCGTGTCCGCAGGTCGCCCGCGCACATAAGTCACGATTTTTCTTCTCCGTTTATCTTATATTTTAATACGGAGTATTTGTTTGAGTTTGAATAGCATCTCTGCATTCAAAATCAAGACCTAAGTCAACAATATACCATACATTCTTGTAAACCTTTACGTAAAGAGAGAATGGATATCTTTAGGTTTGATTCGTGAATATATAGTATTAGGTCATTGCTGATGCAAGTAGTCGAATTTGCTAACAGATGAAATGCCCTGCTAGATAATTGAAACAAAATATAGTTACTACATCAGAGAATTCCCTAAATAGGAGTAAAAAAGTTTTGAAATTCCACTACAGGACTATAATGTTTTTTGTTCCTTGAATATGAGTAAAACTCAAAATCCTAATAAATCCTTAAACAAGCAAATAAATAGATCATGTCAACAATGAACACAAATATATGAAGACTATTCCATATATACCAAATAGAAATCATTACAAAACTCTTAACAACTACTTCTATTAAATCCTATTCTTGCACCTAGTTCATTTATAACAATGCTTATATTTGAAGAATTCAATTTCCAGGACATATTCAAGTACAAGCAAATTGAAGAATCCAATTTCTAGTTTTCATTTCTTCACACCAAGGAACCACTTTCCTCACACCTCCATTGAAGCTTCTTCCTAGCTTCAACACACACTCCTTCCACCTTCCTAGTACCTAGTTTTGGTACTATAAATAGCAAGCTTGGAGAGTCTTTCTATCATCAAGTAAATTAGATCATAGATCATCATAGCACAACCAAGTTTGAGTTGTGAATATCCTTGAGAGATATGTGAGGTATTTTTTTAGTTAGAGCTTGTATGACTCTTCCTTCTATTCTTGAAAGTAATAGAAGTGTTTTTCTCTCATATTAGCACGATCCTGTTATTCCCGACATGTGGTATCAAAGCCTAGTTGAGCTTTTAGTATTTTCCCCAGAATTTTCATATAAAATTCCACTATCTGAAAATTCATGTTTTTCAGTTTTGATCGGAATTGCAATCTGAATATATCGTTGGATTCGTCTCGTCAAGAGGAAAAAGCTGATATTTTTGGGGATTTTTTTGGCTACCGGAAGCCACCACACGCGCCACCTACGTGCCGGTGATGAGGAGCTCGCTGACGTCATCTAGCACGCAGTTTCCAGGGAAGAAGAAGACCTGCGTCATCGCTGACGTCACCAGCGAGTCAGTGCCGCGTCTGCGACACGCATGCAATCTTTGCCCAATCAGCAGCCCGTGTGTCAGCCACGTCAACCGCCTGGCATGCTCCTCCGTCAGCCGCCGCGTTATCGCCCGGTCAGCCACCAATCAGCACCACGTCATCTGCCACGTCACCGGTCAGTTTTAAAATTGAAAAGTTGCAATTTGGTCCCTCAAATTTTGGATAATTATAATGTCCACCTATAATTTTTAAAAAATTATATTTTGACCCCGAAAGTGTCTACCCACCATTTTCGCTCGTTCGAGACGCAACGGTGCTGCCCATTTGTCAAAAATATGCTCCGATCTTTCTCAAAAAGAAAATCAAAATTATTTAGAAGGTGAAAATGACCTTTGGCAAGTCAACTTCATCTTCCGGAGCTATGATTATGCTCACGGCTACCAACTACACGCTATGGAAACCTCGGATGGAAGATTTCCTTAGCTGTAAAGACATTTTTGATCCAATAGAGATGAAAGGTATTAATCCTGACCCGCTCAAATCAATGGAGTAGAAGAAAATTAATAGAAAAACTATTGATCAAATTCGTCAATGGATTGATCATAGTGTCTTCCACCACGTTGCACAAGAAACCGACGCTCAGGCCAAGACCGCTAGGAATAAGACCCTACCGATGAGGTACCTTGTCAATATGAAGCTCAAAAGTGGAATTTTTGTTGCCGAACATACTAGTTAGTTTTAGAGTCTGGTAAATCAACTATCTTGTGTAGGAATGCCACTTTGAGATGAAATGCAATCTCTACTACTTCTTAGTTCCGTTCCTGACAGTTGGGAGACACTAGTTGTTACTCTCAGCAACTCAGCCCCGGATGGTAAACTTACCATGTCTGTGGTCAAGAATGCATTGTTCAATGAGGATGCAAGAAGGAAAGACATGAGCACAAATCAGACTCATGCTCTAGTGACGGAGAATCGAGGAAGACCACAAGGAAAGCAACAAAGAAACAGTAGAGCAAAGTGGCAAAGCATAGGCAAAAGTCGGGGGAGATCATCACATGACCGGAAAACTTCTTATACACGCCACCATTGCGGTATAGAGGGTCATATGATGAAGAATTGCTACAAATTGCTAGAGGAGCGAGGGAAGAGCAATTCACAAATGAAGAACAAGGGTGGTGAAGCGCTCATCACAATATCAGGTGATGTAGCGTATTGTACTACCAATGATGAAACATGTCCGCACGTCTCAAGAGAGGACACTGAATGGGTGGTAGATACTGCAACATCTTACCACGTTACTCCCCACATGTACGACTATTTCACAACTTACAAAGCTGGAGACTTTGGAGCGGTGAAGATGGGTAATTCCAGTTCATCTGGAATAGCTGGCATTGGTGATGTACAAATAAAGACAAGTAGTGGGAGCACAATCACTTTGAAGGATGTCAGACATGTTCCAGACCTTCGGCTCAATCTCCTGTAAGTGGTATGTCTTGATGAACAAGGGTATGAAAACCACTTTAGCAGGGGCACATGGAAAATGTCAATGGGCATTTTGACAATCGCTCGAGGGCATGTTTGTGGCACATTGTACAAACCCCATTTGAAGATTTGCATGGATAGCCTCAACATTACTAAGGAGGCCAGGCTTCTCAAGATCTGTGGCACCTGAGACTCGGTCACATCGGTGAGAAAGGGTTGACTACCTTGATGAAGAAGAACCTTATCAACATTGACAAGAATGCTTCATTGGGTCCTTGAAGTCATTGTCTATTTGGTAAGCAACATAAAGTATCATTTAAGCAAATTGAATTTATTTCTCATAGACAAGATGTAAATCCATTTCATTAAAATTATCCTATTTCTAGGCCTTATTAATGTGCTTGAATAAAGTTGGCTCAAATTACTTTCTAATCTCATAGTCAAGTTAGAAATAATTTTCCAAAATTTAATTAATGAAATTGGCTAACAATTATTAATTACAGATTCATCAAATTGAATAACTAGCTCAATTAATTAATTTTAACCCCTAATTTTCGGCTAACAAGTCAATCCATATTCCTTTACTCAATTCATGCCCAAAACGAATTTAGCTACTAAACATTATTTTTGCATTCAACAATATGGTAAATAAATTAAACATTAACAAGGAATTAAACATGTATACTAGCAAAAATTAAAAAAAAAAGATATTGTCAAAATAAACTTTCTGGAACTACAATATGACTTTCTGGAATTGTTTCATGAATTTTCAAACCTAAAATCCAATTTTAACAATTAATTGATAATTTTCCCACTTTCAACTATAAAATACAAAAGGCAATTAAAAATAGGCTAAATTCGTTCTAAATTTTCTATTGACTACTGGGGTGATATTACAGTGAAATAAACTGGAATTAGGGCCGAGACTATTTTTTTTTATTTTTTTGTAATTAATTTAATTTATGCAATAATAACAACTAATTACCGAAATTAATTAAAAATTACTTTCACTTCGTGAAAATTAACTTTCTTCAGATAAATAACAACCTTGAGGCTAGTGAACAACTATATAATTAATTGGAATGAATTCAACATCAACAACTATTTTATTTAATTTATGGAAGAAAATGCGAAATACTAGATACATATTCTAGAAAAAATCGAAGAACAGATCGAGAAAACAAAGCACAGATGAAAATACATATAAAGAACTTACAATTTGAAGCTAAAATGAAGAAGATATGGAGATTTGAAGTTTCTCTCTCCAAAAAATAGTTTGGAGCTCGGAAATGGCTGAAGAACTAGAACTTTTTGAACTGAATTAGGGGTGGAAGATGTGTGTTTGAGTTCAGCAAAAATCG